CGGGGGAGAGACTACAATATGGTTATGCAAAGCGCTGATCGAGAAGAGCAGCAAAACGTTTCCCTTGCATTGAAGAACGATTGGGGGTTTCCCTGAATGTTCTTTTTTTGTTCTCCCCCACTCCCCCTCTCTGCTCCCTTGTGAATTTGTGCAAAATATAGCCTTTGGGGGAAGATAAGTTGGCTTTTTTTTAAAAAAAAGTCTTCAGTAATGCTCGTTAGTGTGTAGACGCAACACTGCTGGGAAGTTTACAACCTAATTTTTATACTTATACTTACCCCGGGTGATAAATGTATACAAAGTCTAGTGTAATTGGGGTTTCGGGAACCCAGAACTGGATTCAGAGGAGTAGTCTACTTTCAGGGGGAAGCTTTGTATGAGTTCACTTGTCACAGGTTGTATTGTAACAGAGTCTCTGTTGCAGCTATTGTCAAGTGAGCCTTTAGACTTAATAAAAATAATAATTCTTGCATTTGATATAGCGCCTTATCACGTCGTCGAGACGTCTAAAAGCGCTTCACAGGGTATACTGCAAAGTGAGTTAACTGTCTCTGCCACTGCCTCTCACCGCAGGTCACCAAGATCCCACGCTTTCATTACGTCCCGGCTTGACTATGCCGACTGCCTACTCGCTGGACTTCCCAACTCTTCACTCCACTAGCTGCAGATTATTCAGAACTATGCAGTTTGTGTCCTCTCCCGCAACAGGCAGCGGAAACCTGTCACCCCCGTTCTTGCCCGGCTTCACTGGCTCCCCATTCCTCAGAGAATCGAGTACAAAACCCTCGTTCTTACCCTCAAGGCCCTCCACGGTCTTTGTTCCCCTCTACCTCTACAACCTCATAACCCCATATCAGCCTGTCCGCTCCCTCCGCTCAGCGGCCACCGGCCCGCTTCAGGTGCCCCGCACTTCCTGCCCCACCAATAGCGGTCGGCCATTCAGCATCTCTGCCCCCACACTCTGGAACTCTATCCCCCACCCCACCCCCTCTCTTACCTCCTTCAAGTCCCGTCTGAAGACCTTCCTCTTTGACTGTGCTTTCGGCCATCCTCCTACCCCCACCCCCCTGCCCTCCTCCCCTTCTGACCTGGGACGTTTTTCCGACGTGAAGGTTGCTATACAAGTGTAATTTTGTTGTTGTTATTGTATATTTTTGGGCAAAACGTGGTAACCAATTGTACACAGCAGTGTCCCACAAACAGCCGTGGAATGAGTGACCAAATTATTATTATATATTTATTTTTTGAAGGGATTATTACTGTGGATGCTGGATCCATTCACATCTTCAGGACTGAGGTGGATAGCCATTTGTTAGGTCAAAGTATTAAGGGATAAGCGGTCAACGCGGGTAATTGCACTTGAGGTACAGATCAGCCATAATCTTATAGAACGGTGGAACAGGCTTGAGGGGCTGAATGGCCTCCTCCTATGTTTCTATGTCAATTAGAACCAAAACAATAATCCATTCAGAAAGCATGTTGGTTTTGGCAACTCATCTGAAGGAGACTTGAGAGGGAATTTTACTCTGTACCTGACCTCCAGTCCTTTTAAGAAGCAAAACATTTCCAACGTTAAAAAAAACGTTTTTTCATTTAAAAACAAGAGAGAAAGGAAGTCCTGCAATAGTAACACCTGATTACACTGTGATCAATGGTATCTGTCACCACCAACAGATCGAGCCTATAGAAATGTTGCACGCTGACTGTTGGTTAACGCCAACTTTGACAGCTAAAACCTCAGTCGTTACTGCAAATCCTTCATCACTTTTTGAGTTGGGAGCTGACAGAAAGTTTCCCTGGTTGGGTGGAGCAGAGTGCTCCTCGTACACTGAATCAGGCAGACTGGGACAGGCGGAGGATTACTCCAGGCTTTGTGGAACTGTCTGATCTCAGACAGGGATTGGCCTGGGAGGGGTGGCGGAGACGGTGGGAGGGGATGGGAGACGAGGAAAAATCAGCCAGGATTTCCGCTGCTTTTCTGGTCAGCCGGGTGTCTTGACACATGCTGAAACCCATCGCCGTGCTTAAGAGTCTCCAAACCCAGCTGAGAATTCCATGCATCCCACATACACGTGGAGATTCCAGAGATAGATTGTTGAAAAGGAACCCACAGTCTCCTCAGATTACCTAATTTCTGCTCCTGGTCAATGTTATTGTGTCACGTGGAGATTGAGCTTGTATATGGCCCTCAGGTGTGGACAGACTGTTCTGACTGTGATGCCATAATTAGCCGAATAGCTTGTACAGGAGACAGACACAGTTTTAGCTCCGCAGAATGGCACGTGGACACATTCCTTGTGGAGCTGAACCCAAGCAAAAGACAACGGGTCACCTATTCTGACTTTAATCCACATATTTCACCCACAAAATATACAGTGAATTCTCTTTGCAGTATATTCTGTGAAGCACTTTGAGACTCTTGAAGACATGATAAGGCGCTGTATCAAATGTGAGAATTATTATTATTATTATCCATTACACTGAATATAATGACAATGACTGTAAATTTAGTTGCAAAACCAATACTTTGCTGCATGAAACAACATTAGCGACTGGTAGGTGGGTTCAGGCGCGGAAGGCAGCACTGATCCCTTTTATATGTGTGCTACTGTACAAGGTGTGTTTTTAATAAGCTACTTGAAAGCAGGTTTATTTGGGCATTTGGCTCATGTTGTGAAAATCTGGCCCTTTGTATTTTTTGCCAAATGTGCCGAAAGTTAATGATCTAATGGAACGATTAGAGAGTAAGTGCATTGACCAGATCCCAGGATAAGAACCACTGTAAGTCTTCCGTCATGAGGTGTGTATGGAGACTGAGATCTACGGTTTAATTACTGCGTAGACGTGCTTATTATAGGTCACGGGGGGAGAGCTGCCATCTGGAGCACTTGCATATTAATTAGCAAATAATAATAATAATAATCCTGTATTTGATATAGCGCCTTATCACGTCTTCGAGACGTCTCAAAGCGCTGCACAGAACATACTGTAAAGTGAATTGACTGTGTATCTTGTGGGCGAAACGCGGCAGCCAATTGCGCCCAACAGCGTCCCCACAAACAGTCGTGGATTGAGTGACCAAATTATTATTATTATTAATTTATTTAAATAATACTGTGACTGAGTATCTCAGCATCCGGCAAAGCAAGGAGCAGGCTTTGCTGAGTGACGATCTTACAGTTGTGATAATGTGAAGAATGTACAGTGGCTCGTTCTAAAATAACTCAATTGACACTTTATCTTCGATCTTGCGAGACAAATCAAATCGGCTGTTCACGTTACACCTCTCAGCAGATCGTTGCTGTACGCAAGTTGACTTTCAGCTTCGCCTACAAAATACACAGCCATCGAACTTTACAATAAAATCTTGTGAAGCCCTTTGAGAAGCCTCGACGACGAGATTATTGTTATGCTTCTCTCAGGAATTAGTACGGAGTTCACTAGGATTGGAGTTTTTTTTTAAAAAAATTGACAGTGACATAGAGGGTTTTTTGGTAGTAAATGATGTAGGTCACGGTAGAACACAGGTTTCCATTCCTTCTTCACAGACGTGGGCAGATGTTGCGAAGTTCTGAAAAAAATCACATTTTCCTAAACGTCTTGGCTCAGCAACCGTGCTTGAGGAATGCACATTGGTTGCTATGTGGGTGAATATGATCCCTGAGTTTCCTGACTACAGTACAATATGTGAAATTGGCCCAACCACACACACACACACGAAGTCGCTGGGAAAGCTCAGCAGGTCAGGCAGCATCTATGGAGAGAGGAAAGTGAGTCAACATTTTGACTCCCCGACCCTTCGTCAGGAGTTCTGAAATGTTGACTCACTTTCCTTTCTCCATAGATGCTGCCTGACCTGCTGAGCGTTCCCAGCGACTTCTGCTTTTGCTATACAAATATAGTTTGCTGTTGTTAAATTTCTTTTTCTTCCTCACCCCCCACTCTGATTCTCCTTCCCCCCCCACTACCCCGGGGAGAATTACCGCTAGCAGAAATGAGACAGGAATGAGATCAGTAAAAGGCCCGCAAACATAAAATTGGCCGAAGAGCTTGAGTGGGGGGAGAGGGGGGGACTGGGGACAAGTGGAGTGTGGTTCAGTAACGGAGGTTTTGGAACTAACACGTTCCAGGAACTGAGGCAGTCTGAACATTTGTAATGAGGCAATGATTTCCTCCAAAGCACAAACAGTTGAACTGTTCTGACGTCCCCCTCTTACACATGAATCCCTTGCTATGTTAGGATTTTGATCGCAAATGAAATATTTGGTTTATGTGGTGCCAATCGGTAACTTGTACTTCATCTGATATGGGAGAGCCACGTGAGGGAGAGAGGAGGTGGTAGGTTTTGTAGAGGGGGAATTTTGTGGCCCTGCTTTCTAGCTGTGTTCTGCTCGTCAAGAGTTGAGGAAAGTGTACCCTGATTTCCAGCACCGCTCTTTGATGGTAAATTCACTTGGGGAAGTGGAGGGTTTTTATTTCCTCTCTTTTCGCAATCTTTACTTGGGTTTTCTCGACTGCAGTTAACTTGCAGCTCTCTCTCTCTCTTTCTCGCTCTATGTGAATGAGGTTTCTACAGTATTGGCGTATGTGTTCCTGAAGGGGGGGAAGGGGAAAAACAGGCGAAAAGATTTTTGGTTACGTCACATTTCCGTACTCCTGTGAGCCATTGGAATGCTGAACATTGGGTCTATCAAATGTGTTGCAGGAAATTTTCTTTCCTCTCCCACCCCCCCCCACCCCACGCCTCCTCCCCACACTCTTTCATCAGTTCTTTAGAACTGTATCGTTATAAGAAAGATAAACAAATGTCACTATTTTGGAAGGAAAGCAAGAGACGATGATTGCCAAATAAGCCAATTTTCTCATATTACAGTAAAATAAACATTTCTCGGAAGATATTAACCCTGAGTAATCCTAGTCAGTGCTTTTACTTATGAAGCCCAGTTGGTTAAGTTTCTTGTGTCTTGCTTATTTTTTGCAAAAATATTTTTTCTTCCTAGGTTTGATATCTACAGGAAAGTTCCAAAAGATCTTACACAGCCCACGTACACGGGAGCTTTCAGTAAGTATGGTGTCACCCTATCACTTCCTGCTCGCACAATTTAAGTGGTGTTGCTTCATATTTGCAGAGAGACAAATATTCCCACAGTCGAGAAGGGTGCCCTGGGATGCTAACCCGCCTGAAAGGGATAGTAGTTTTGTTATTATTCACCCACAAAATATACAGTCAATTCACTTAACATTATATTCCGTGAAGCGCTTTGAGACGTCTCGAAGACGTGATAAGGCACTGACTCAAATGCAAAGACTATTATAATGTAAGTGCAAGTTGTTGGTGGGTGACTGAGCCAAGCTTGGACCCTAGAGACCTGTTACCATGATCCCAAACCAATGGAATCAACAATCAGTAGCAAAACAGGAGCAAGGCAGCAAGACCCATGTGAAAGTAACCAGATGCAAGATGAGCATCAATGCTTGACTTTCCTCGTTGGCTGTGTTTGAGGAGGTAGTGTCGGGGCTTGGCGGAGGCTGTCTGCGTGATGACTTCCCAATGGCCTTTCATTCAGTACAATACGAAAGACCCACTTTCCAATGTAAGCATAGATGTGGATTAGTAACTGTTTGAAGGGAATCAAGCAGAGGGCAGTGGAGGGAGGACAACGTCAAAATGGGTGGGTGAGAGTAGATAATAATAAGAATAATTATCCTTGCATTTGATATAACGCTTTATCACATCTTCGAGACATCTCAAAGCACTTCAAGGAATGTACTGCAAAGTGAATTGATTGTGAAATGAGGCAGACAGCAAGCCTGGTTAAATTCCTAACCTCTCCAGCAGTGATGTCTGAGCTGTACAGAATTGTGGTCAAGCCGCACCTTTATACTCAATACTCTTTTGTTCTTCATGATATAAGAGCCACCCAAGCCTTAAGCGTAGTGGAAAGGAAAGCCGTTGGCTGGCTGCCAAGGGAGACCAGCAACGAAGACTAACTGGATAAGTGAGGGTGTTTTAACCTCAGAAAAGATTTCTAGGAAGGGAATATCTTTAGTTATTCGGTAGATAAGATGTTGCGTGGCAAAGTGAAAGCAGATAATGGAAGAATATTGCCTGATAGGCCAATACTCCAGGACAAGAGGACCCAGTTTCTGAGTTGCAAAGTGCAAGTTAAGAGCAGAGTAATTTCACACAGGGAAATTCACAGGCCAGAACTCATCTCCCACAAAATATAGTCCAGTCACTTTACGGTATATTCTGCGAAGCGCTTTGAGACGTCTCGAAGACGGGATACGGCACTACAACAAATACAAGGATTATTATTATTATTTCAGAAAGCAGCTCGATGCTGTAATTGGGGAGAGTGGAGGGTAGGTACGAGATCACTTGAGCTGAAGAATCTTCTTGTGCTGAATCCGTTGTGTGCTAAGTGGTTGACCTGACTATTTCCGGAAAGCAGACACGGCGTCAGTTAGTGCTGTAGCGTAAGCAGAAGCTTCCGTTTGGTGGCTGGGACGGCGGTGGGGCAGACGTATTGTTTTCTGCCCTTGTTGCGTCCTTAGCAGAGTCTCCTCCAGCCTTGGCTAGACTTGCACAACGGCAGTACCAGATGGCGTAACTAGTCTTTCCTGAAGTCATGTGGCTTTTTGTGAAACGAACATCTTGTTGGTGATGCATTTGTCATTAGTCATTTTTTGACACTAGTTTTGCTTACTCAATGTTGTTAGAAGCAGTGAATGTTTGGTTAGTGACTAAACCATGTAGGATTATATATTTTTTAGCTTGTACGCTAATTGTAGATCGGAATATCCCACACTGTTCTCGACTGAGGAGGATGACAGTAGCTTAGAGTAATTATTATTCCTGTAAGATCCTCCCTTCAAAGCACAAGTGTTTGGTTTCATTTCTTATAATCGTTCCAAAATGGAAATGTCATTGTATTCAGTACCTCCGTCTTAATTCAAACAAGATGAATTTATAAACACAAAGCAGGACATGAAACTGCCCAGTGGAACTGATTTTAACACCAGTTTCGCAGGGAAGGTTTTCTGAGATCGATCATAACCTTTAATATAAATAATGACTCAAAGCTCACATTGACGCATCATACGCAATCCTTCAGGCTCCCGTCAGAAAGAGAAACTTCATTAAAACACGTGATTTTAACCGATTAAGTATTAATTTCCTTATGATGTCACTTCCTTGCAGTAGATGATGCATTTCATTGCCTCCAGTCATAGCAGGAAACCAACCAATGATTAATATTACTAACTATACAATCACCTGCCAGGGGGGAGGGAGGAGGATTTGAGGAGAGAGCTCACAGCAAGCGAGTCACTCCCCACTCACCTGCACGGGTTGGGGTGGGGGGTTGGGTATGGGGTCGGGTGTCCTTTGACCCACTGAAGAGCAAAGTCCCTCATCAGTTTGTGTAACATTAGGGCCTGTTGTTTTGACTCTCTTTCTGCAACCAATGTATCCCCAGCAAATCGTCCCCACTTCTAATCAATGCTGCGGATGAAATAATTCTGAAATATTTTGATTTGTTCACAGTTTCCGTCTGCTGCTGCTTGTTCATGCTGTTTCTCTTCCTGTCCGAGCTAACTGGTTTTATTACCACAGAAATGTAAGTGCAGCGGTTTTACTCTAGACCTGTTGCGATAGTAACGGAGTCAGTCAGTCTTACACCTTTGCATTTCAAGAACAGTAAATTGCAATGAGAACAATGTTCAATACTTCCCCCGCAGGTGGGTGGGTTGGTAACCCGAGGACACCAATTTAAAATAAGTGTTAAATGAAACGGAGGGGAGGTGAGGAGAAATGTTTTCACACAGCGAGTTGTTCGGATCTGGAATGCATTGCCTGAAAGGGTAGTGGAAGCCGATTCGATAACAACTTTTGAGAGAGAAGCAGATAATTATTTGGGGAGGACAAGTTTGCAGGGCTATGGGGAGAGGGCGGGGGAGTGGGATTGAATTGGACAGCTCTTTTCAAGGAGCCGGCACAGACACGATGGGCCGAATGGCCTCCTTCTGTGCTGTGTAATTCTATGATTCTATGAGATGTGCAAAAACAGATTGTGTGAGAAACAGTTCTTATTTTCTTACAGTGTCAATGAATTGTATGTGGATGATCCTGATAAAGAGAGCGGGGGGAAAATCGAAGTAAAACTGAACATCAGTTTGCCAAGCCTTCCCTGCGATGGTGAGTTTTCGTGTGTGTGTGTGTAAGTGTCTGTCTATATATAGATATATATTATATATATCTATATATATTAGGTGTACCCGTTGCAGCTACACATGCAACCAAAGGAAGTGCCGCAGCGTCACTGGGAGTCAGTTTGGCCACCAGGTGTAACTGCAGGGTACATGTAACTGCCATACATGTGTGATGAGCTTGTTTAGGTCATAGCTCACCAATGATAGGAGATCCCCTCCAAAAAATATACGCCCATGACACTCCCCCAGGCAGGATGTTTGTTTTTGTTCCAGAAATCAGCTTATCTCCACTTTCTTGACTTCACAGGAATTATAACAAAAAATGTAGCTGATGCTTTTTGTTTTGCTTTCTGCCTTGGTTTAAAACCCAACATTTTGCTATCACACATCTCTAATCAGCAACTAGTGTACGATAAGTGCAGAGCTGAAATCCCCAAATCCTAACCTTTTTACATTGGATCTGATCAAACATGCTTCAGTTTCAGCGTTAAGCTATTCAATGCTCTTTGACATCAGTGTCAATATCAGGCTACGTGGGTTGAACTTTCCAGCACAGTATAATACAATATTTGGAATTGAGGTACAGATTAGCCAAGATCTAATAGAATAGTGAAACAGGCTCACGGGGCTGAATAGCTTCCTCCTGTTCCGAGAAGAAGGCCATTCAGCCCATCGTGGCTCTTTTAAAGAATAATCCTCTCAGTCTTATTTACTTGCCCTTTCCCCGAACTCCTATAGTTTCTTCTATTTAGACATGTGGGCGCATTGCCATTTGGTAGAGCATTCAGCAACATAGGCTTTTGTAAAGCCATATTGACTCTGCCTAATCTTGCTATGGTCTTCCAGGAATCCCATAACGACATCCTTAATTAAGGACTCAAGAATTTTCCCTACCACTGAAGTCAGACTAACTGGTCTATAGTTCACCATCTTTTCTCTCCCACCCTCTTAAATAGTGGTGTCACGTTTGCAATTTTCCAATCAATGGGAACCGTTCCAGAATCCAGAGAATTTTGGAAGATCAAAGACAAGCCATCCACTATCTCAGTAGCCACCTCTTTTAAAACCCTAGGATGTAAGCCATCAGGTCCAGGAGATTTATCAGTTTTAAGACCTGACAATTTACCTAAAACCATTTCTTTACTAATATTAATTCCATAGTTAACATAGATAGCTCTCATCCAGGACTTGATGTCTGACACACATTCTGTCAGGACAGCAGTTGTACTGAAGGCAAGGCTGGAGGCAAAGACATATAGGTGGATATCATCTGCATTTATGATTGGAGTTTGAATCAGACGATAATACAGTGAAATAAATTAAAATTATTAGTCATTTTTATTTTTAATATATATTGCAGCAATTCTCTGTCCAAATCAACCCTTTTGTTTCTTTCAAGTGGTTGGACTCGACATTCAAGATGAAATGGGAAGACATGAAGTTGGTCATATTGATAATTCCATGAAAGTTCCTCTGAACAATGGTCTGGGCTGCAGGTTTGAGGGAAAGTTCAACATTAACAAGGTACGGACAAACTGTGCTAACAACAACTTGCATTTATACAGCAGTCTTCACGTGAGGAGCGCTTAACAATGGTGTAGTTTGATGCCGAGCCAGAGAGAAAGGGGGGGTGACCATAGGTACCGTCGAAGAGGAAAGTCATCAGGATATCTGGGCAGTGCAGAGGGATTGAGGCTGCTGAGTTCCAGAGGTTAGAGAGCAGTGGCTGAAAGTACGGCCGCTGTTGGTAAAGCAGAGAGGTCAAGGGACACACAGAAGGCCAGAGCTGGCTAAGCAAAAGGGGTGGGTAGAGGAACGGGGTAAGCTGGTTGAAGAGATAGGGAGATGCTAGGGCACAGTGACTTTTAGGTGAGACTGAGGATCTTGAAATCAATCCGTTCTGCAACAGGGAGTCAGTGGATCCTGGCAAGGATTAGACCAATGGTGGCCAACCCAAGGCCCGTGGGCTGGAAGTGGCCCCCGTGTTGTGAGTAATTGGTCTGCCAAACTTTCACACCAGTCCAAGTGAGTCCATTCCAAATCAATACCTCGTTTCCAGTAGCTACTGAACGGCAATGCTAAGGAGGGGGCCGGTCATCAACCAAGAAAGATTCCAATCATGATCATTCATTTGGTCGGCCGATCAAAAAGGCTGGTCACCACTGGATTAGACAAGTTTTGTCATCAGAAGCGAATCTGTGCCAGATGTATAATTTCCTTCAGTTAAATCATTGCTGGTATTTATCATTAAAGTAGGGTACTCCGGCTTTATTCAATAAGGACTTTTGACTCATTCCTACCAGCGATACGATCCAGCATTGCCTCGCACTGTCATGCTGCACAACCGCAAACATTGTTGCAGGAACTTGTCCTTACAATTACGTCTGTGAAGGAGTCCTACCCGTAATACTATTGTCACTATTGTATCTCGGCAAAGATGACGGCAAGGTAACCTTCAAATGATATTATAATCCTATAATCTTTGCACTTGGCACAGTAACTTTCTTGCCAGGCAGAAGTCTCAAAGCGCTTCACAGGATATGCTGTAAAGTGGTGTGACTGTGTATTTATAGGCGAACCCGCTGGCCCATTTGTGCACAGCAAAGCCCTAAAAACACAGCCATTAAGTGAATGCTTGATTTTATTTCAGGGGGATTACCAACCAGGAAATCGGGAGAGGGAAACTTCCTTCTCTGTTTGAATAGTGGCCTCACCCTACCTCTGCGACCTCCTAACCCCCTACCAACCCGCCCGTTCCCTCCGCTCAGCCGGCTCCGGCCTGCTCCACGTCCCCCGACCCACCCGCTCCACCATTGGCGGGAGAGCCTTCAGCCACTCTGCCCCCAACCTCTGGAATTCCATCCCCCAGTAACTCCGCCTCGCCCCCTCCTTAGCCTCCTTCAAGTCCCTCCTCAAGACCCTCCTCTTCGACCAAGCCATCGGCCATCCCCCTTCCCCTCCTTCTGTCCCCCTGACTCCAGCTTGGGTCTGAAATGCTGTACTCTGTCCAGCGCCTTGGGTCGTCCTCCCGACGTGAAAGACGCTATACAAATGTAATCTTGTTGTTGTAGTGCCTTGGGATCTTTAACGTCCACTGAACAGGAACAGATGGGATGTTGGTTTTAATGTCAAGTCCCAACACTACAGCGCTGCCCTGGAGGGTCAGTCTGGACTCACTGTGAGCTCAGAATCCCAATGCAGGGCTCGAAACCACAAGCTTCTTTCCCAGAGGCGAGAGAGTTACTGACTGAGACATGACAACACTTCTGCTTAAACAGCAAACTTTTGCTGTGTTTTTCACTTTGTCAAACCTGTGAAATTTAACAAAAGTTTTGCCCACAAAATAGACAGTCAATTCACTTTGCAATATATTCTGCAAAGCGTTTTGAGACATCTCGATGACGTGGTAAGGTTCTATATTAAATGCAAGGATATTATTAATAAGTGAAGGGCTCGGGAAGGGTGCTGTGCAAATGCAAGTTGTTGTTTGCTGTAAGGTTAGTTTCGCATTTTGTTTTGATCATAATTTGTTTAAATGTTCTTTCTCTCTCTCTCTCTCTCTCTCTTTCTCTCTCTCTCGCTCTCTCTTTCGCCTCCGTTTCCTGTCTCCCTCTTTCACTCTCCCTTCTACACAAACACCCAGTAACTTTTTGGTAATCTCGTAGGAAAATAATTCTACATCTGTTTTTTCGTATCAGATGAACTGAAATTTGCTTTCATTAGGTTCCAGGTAATTTCCATGTCTCCACCCACAGTGCTACAGCACAACCGGACAATCCAGATATGACTCATACAATTAACAAGCTGACATTTGGCGACAGAATAGAGGTGAGCTCTTTGCTTTCTTCAACAAAGAGCAAAGTGAGTGAGGGCTGGGTGAGTGTGCAAACACCCTGCCCTACGTGACAAATGATGTTTCAAATAATAAGTTATCGCCTTGACATACATCACCTGATCGGCACAAGATTATTGTTAGCCTCACTTGTGTTAGCTATGCTGCCAACCACACCCATTCCCCTCTGTTGGGTCATCTCTTCGCTGCTGCTTGCTTTGTGAGAACAAGTCTCAAAGGCATCCGAGTTCCTCTTAGTCAGGCTGCACCAGACACGTAAAGACTGACCTACTGGTGCAAGTCTGCCAGATTGAGAAGTGTATGGTATATCTTCTAGCATTGTATATGACCCATGTATATGTGTATACATGTAAATAATATATAAATATGACCAAGTGAAGTCCTGTAGCTCAGTGGTCGCAAACGAAAGACCTAGATTTGAGCGAAATTTTGGCCAAGTTTCCTTACTCCACGCACCTTCTAGGAGTAAATAGGAACCTGGTTGTTAAAGAAACTGGGTCACTCACTCTACGGATGTGTGTGGACGCTGCTTGACACAATCAAAGGATTATTATTATTATTATTATATGTGCATTGCAGTGTCAGGATGAGCCTGGGTTCTCTCCCTTGCATTGTTATACTGTTGACAGTGTCCTATGATGAGATGGCATCTTATGGTGTGGTTAAATCGTAATGAGGTTTCATATCTGCACCCACCCCCCGCCCCCCCCCCTCCCACACACACCAATGACCCTCATTAAAATGCGTGTAGTAATTGTGGCTTCTAAGAAGTCCTGTAGCTCAGTGGTTAGAGTACTCGCTTTGCAAGTGAGAGACCTGAGTTCAATTTCAGGCAGGGCGAAACCTTGGGCAAGTTTCCTTACTCCTCACGCCTAATAATAATCCCTCCAAAAAAAAAAAATTATAAATTGGTAATTTTCAATCCATGACTGTTTGTGGGACATCACTGTGCGCAATTGGCTGCCGCATTCGCCCACAAATATACAGTCAATTCACTTTACAGTATATTCTGTGAAGCGCTTTGGGACGTCGAGAAGACGTGAAAAGCGCTATATCAAATGCAAGGATTATTATTATTATATTTTCAACTTTAAAGATGTGAATGTTACAGAGAGGCGATTGTTCTGCTTTGCAATCAAGATTACAGTCTGGTAATCTGACTATGGGTAAAACCACAGATTTAATCTTACAGTGAAGATATCAGGGTTACCTGAGCAGAGCGTTAACAATGAGAACAACAAATTATGTTTGCTTAGCGCCTTTCACATCAGGAGGACGTCCTAGCATCGCGTGCAAAGTGGATTATAGTCCGTGAAGGAATTTCTTTTCTGTAGAAATTAAATCTGTGTGTGTGCGAGCAAATCAATTATTTCCCATGTATTACATTTGGAATTTTTATATATATGTATATTATTATATATTGTATAATAATGTATAATAATAATTATTAATGTCCCGAAACTCTGGAATTCTCTCCCTCAATCCCTCCGCCTTGCCCCGCCTCACTCCTCACCTTCAAATCCCACCTAAAGTCCTCCCTTTTTGATCGTGCTTACAGTCATCTGCCCACCGCCCCCCCCCCCCCCCCCGGCTCGATGTCGGCCTCCGTCACTGTGAAGCGCTCTGGGACGCTACCCCACATGAAGGGCGCTATATAAATGCAGGTTGTTGTCGTTGAAATGGAGTGCATCACCAATACTCCTGGTGAGACACTGCAGCAACAACAACAACAAATTACATTTACACAGTGCCTTTCACATCTGGAGGATGCCCCAAGGCGCTGGACAGCCAGGGATCAGCACTCAAGCTGGTGGTCGGGGTGAGGAGGGGTGGAGTAGGGGTAGGAGGACACGAAGCAGGTGGGAGCCCTCTGATACAGGACCGTGGACGGATGTGTTCGTCTGAACAATTGGGTTTCGTGATTGGTTTGTATCTTTTGAGNTTTTTTTTAATGAGCAGCGGAATTCTGTATCTCACATTATTCCTGACACCGGGAGCCGGTGATCGCACAGTAATTCCCAACAGTCCTGATCTGTTGACAAATTTGTGAAGCCTCCAGGCCTAGCCATCACATCATTCTGTGTACTTTGACGGAAAAAATATTTTCTAGTGACTCAGGAGAGACGACAATAGTTTTTGGGCGTTTCCGTGCTGGCTTGTTCCCTTGGTTCCATGTTCTGAGTTATTGTAAACTGGAGTGTTTCAGTGTTGATCTATACTCCGTGTCTCTCCCTTGTTGATATGTGAGGGTGATTGAGCTGCTGATGGTTTTATATAGTAACAATGATTGATTGCCTTTTTTACTAGGTCAAAAATGTTCACGGAGCATTCAATGCCTTAGGCGGAGCTGATAAACTTAGTTCAAATCGTAAGTACGTGATTCTAACTTGTCATACTCAGGACATGTACTGTGTACACCACCTTTTGAAAGCACGTGAAACATAGAAAGGATGTAGTTTATAACCCGAGTTTGAAGCAGAAGCACTCTGACAAAGTGACTAGATAATCCAACTCTGGGAATATTAAATTCCCACTTGCGCAGGGATGGGGGAGATTACAATCTATCCAATTATAAATAAATATTATTATTTATTTGCATTTGATATAATGTCAGGAAGATATCACAGGATTTATTTTACCTACAAAAATACTCAGTCAGTACACAGTATGCCATGAAAGGTGCTATACCAAAGGTAAGTATGATTTCTGTAAAGAACTGACTGTGTGTTCTGTAGACAATCTCAAATGAATTGTTCGAACCTTTACTCTTAAGTCATTAATAAGTCATGCACAATGCAAGGTCTCTTACAGACAAACATGCAATCTAACTTTTTCAGATTGCTCCAGTGCAGTATTTATTGGAAGCAGAAGATAATGTTGCCTATGTGACTGAGTGAATGCCACCTTTAACTTCCACAACCTATTGCTATCACCTTATTGTAATTACATTGCCTGTACCCAGGGCTCTGAAACTCATTCACTGCATTGACCTAACGCAATGGTACTTTCAGTAAATTAGGGTCTTGCTATAATTCACAATGAACGATTGTGTTTTGAGCTGAATGCCCTCATGTTGACTGGCCTTCAAATGCCTACACTTCATTAAATCTTCCTATATTTAGAAATGCTCTCAGCTGGTTTAGCTTGTTCCTGCAGAGAGCGAAGTGTTACGAACTGAAAATGATTAATTGCTGTAAACAATCTCCGATCACGATTCTTATTTTTACTTCCTTTTCTTCTCACCCCCACCCACTCCTGAACCTGCTTACACCATCTTCCCGCATGGAGGCCTTATTGTATGAGCTGCAGATTCCTTGGTGATTTGGACAAAAAAAGGGACTTGAGGTGACGTTAGGGATGCTTTTCACAGAAGAGACAGAGGGTTTGTTTTTCCCAGAAGTGGGAACAGGCAGCTCATCACTTCTCCTCCCCCAAACCTTGCACAAGCTTTATCTGGTTAACTAGAGGCTTATGTACCTCTATTCATGGATATTTCAATATCCACATGTTGTGCCTATCTGTCTAGACATTTCATTCCTGCCCTTGTTGAACTCTGGGCTGGGAATTTGCTCTTTTGTTGAACTTTGTGTTTGGAAATGTGAGACCATGTCTCGGTGGCTCCAGCTATGACTCAGTCTTTCTCGTCTTTGTCAGACTCTGAACGCAGATGAGTGTCGTCACTTGGGCGACTTGATCACGGCTTGAGCGACTGACAGAAACTTACATTACATCCAGCTGACCTGACCCCAGAGGAGAGAGGGGGGAGAATATAGAGAGAACGCCAACCTGTTCGCTCACAAGTTCCTTATGTGGTCTCAGAAGAGCCCGGGGCTTTGTCTCAGGTGTCAGATTAATGCTAATGTTGCTGTTGCTATTCCTCCTGCTTTTGTTTCACACAGAAATTATGTTTTTCTCAAAAAAATAGAAAATCCTAGCTTTGGTGCTTTGGTGGCCGAAAGCTCGGTCGAAGAGGAGGGTTTTGAGACGCACCTTGAAGGAGGCAAAGGGAATGTGGGATGGAGTTCCAAAGGGTGAAAGAGAGCAGAAGGGCTGAAAGTCCAAACGAGAGCTCTGAGCTTGTAAAAGATTCTCTGGTAGCAGTATGTTTGTGCCTGAATGTAAGAATCTAGGGAAGGAGGTTTCTGGTGATATAATCTTTGTGTTAGCATTTCTTAACAAGTGTATCCATTTGACATATCCACTTTTCTGCAGCTCTTGCATCACACGACTATGTATTGAAGATAGTCCCCACGGTATATGAAGATATAAAACAGACACAGCGCTTTTCCTATCAGTATACAGTAGCGCATAAGGTAAGGATGACGTGATTATTTACTTTACTTTATTTAACGATCTGCTAACCAAAGCCCTAAAGGGTAGTATTGATCGAACCGAACCAGCAACAGGAAGCTTGGCAGTGTTTGCAGTGTAAAGTGTGCAGCTTTAGCTCATGGTGGCGATGCTGTCATGACCAGCGAACCTGCAAACTGCATTGAATATTCGTTTGAATGGAGACTCGATGTCTGTTCGAATGTTGCATGGTATTGTTTCGGTCATTTACACCCCACGGGTAGCAGGAACCATCTCACTGTCTCAGTTAAAGGATGTTGTCGTCATCTGAAAGGGCTCCGATTTGCATGAAAACCCATTGTCTGTAAGAATAAGTATTCTGTGAGTGTGAGAGTACAAGGGATAAACACATGAGGTGTTTGAGCAGGCAAGGGAGTTGCACCTTGGAGGAACTTGTAACAAAAAGTGGGATCAACTCACTCACCTTGCTCAAACCGTAAATGCCAACATTTCATGTATGACAACTCTGGCTGTATCTTTCTGGTAGATGGGTGGGGTGGGGGTGAGGTGGGTGCACCCTTCATACCAAACAGAAACTATACACTTGTGGAACTCTTGGTATTTTGGTTTAGATACTTGGGAGTGGTATTGGGTTTACAAGTAGTCAGACACCCTGCTGACCAAAGAATACAATACAAAATTACATTTGTCTCGCGCCTTTCACGTCGGGATGACCTCCCAGGGAGTTCCCAAGAAATCCCTAACTATCCTGCAAAACCGAGTTTCTTTGTGTCCCGATAATCTGATCTCACGCGATCTCTCCTTTGTCGACATTGAATAAGTTCTCAATTAATAGATGCAGAAACAAGCTGTTCATTTCAGCAGAGGAGCTTGAGTCAAACCCTTAATACAAACGGGATACTGGTTTGTGGGATGGGTGCCCTTATTGTGGGCATCTTCTCTCTTGCTTATTGTTGTACCGCAAGCAATTTGGGGAATTCTCACCAAACCAGTGTGCAAACTGTGTGGGTTGTAGGAGCTTCCCCCTGTTTGTTTACTCTTTAGCCTAAGTGAATTGAAACGACAGCTTTGTGGAGGTAAATTTCCGCTGGCGATTAATGTTTAATCGTTTCTGTTTGTTTTTAGGAATATGTAGCGTACAGCCACACAGGACGGATTATCCCTGCGATCTGGTTCCGATACGACCTCAGTCCAATTACTGTGAAATATGTTGAGCGGCAACCACCTTTGTACAGATTTATTACAACGGTGAGCAGACCCACGGCAGCCCTGACACTAATATATTTCCTGTCTTTTTGCTCTCTGACCTGAGGTACTCCTTCGTTCCTCTTCAGTGAAATTGATCACTGCTGAAAATCTACTGGACCCTCTTTCTTGCTTGTGAAAGGCTTTAGGTTTATGCTGTCAGTAGGCATTTCGATGTTATATTTTGTGAGTTAAGTGCAATCGGGCATTGTGAGCAGACCTCACTAGCAGGTGATTAGTTCTAGTGCGTTAGCGTGTTAATGAGGCAGAGCACCAGCAGGGAATGGAGTGACTGTACGATCACTTCTTCTGTGTGTTCTTTAAAAGAATGTCCCACATCAAGGCTGTGGGATAACCTTGCTCTAAAATGTTCATTGCAGAAACATTCCAAGTCGTTTTTAGTTATTTGATGTCAATTTCCAAAAGTAAACTGTGTGGCTTCTCTTATTGCTCTCCAGGTGATGATAACAATAATAATAATAACAACAATAATAATCCTTGTATTTAATATAGTGCCTTTTCATGTCTTCTAGAATATACTGTAAAGTGATTCCTCTTTTCAGTTTGGGAATCGTTGTTAATGACGGGTGTGCAAGGGTAGTAAACTGAACGAGAATTCAAGCTCCTGGAGTGTGAATGAGTGTTAAAGCTCCTGTGGAGTGTGCGCTTCTGACTCTAAGCCTGTAATTGACTGACATCATCCTTTCTAAGCCACACTTAGCGACCGACAGCATTAAAGCTTGCGTACCTGCATCACAGTTGCCATAGAAGCAGCACTTACCTCATCCTGAGCACAGGAGCAGGGCTGTTTCTAGGGAGATTATCTGCAGGATGGCAGATGCTGTATTGTTTGCAGAACCTGCATTTGGGATGAAGCTGAGACTGTCACACCTACGCTGCAAATAAATATTCATCAACATTGTGAAGGTCCCCAAAAAACATTTCTTTCATAGAGCATTGCTTTGTGAACCCTCATCACCTCTGTACAGTATTTAATGATGATAATAATAATAATAATCCTTGCATTTGATATAATGGCTTATCACATCTTCGAGACGTCTCAAAGCGCTTCACAGTGTACACTGTAATGTGTAGTGACTGTGTATTTTGTGGGTGAAACGCAGAGCACAGCACAATAGTTCTGATATTGGGCCTTCCTGATACTGTGAAAGATTAGGGTTTGGTTAAAGCCTGATGACGTGACTGAGCCTAACTCTTTCAGTGCAAAAAAGATTAATAGTAATGCACCATAAACTACACAATCCTAATCCGACGATATTAAACTCCAGCTATTTGTACACTAAGACGCGCAGTCTGCTTTTATTAATACAATCCGGAGGAAGAATGTGGAATCTCTCGTGTATAATGTAGCGTGAAAAGAACAAACATTAGCTTTCACTCAGTTGGAAACTAGTAACTAACCCGAGGGTCTGCACTATAGTGAGTGCTGTATAACTGACAAGTTGAACCCAGGTTCCGTATTCTCCGGTTATGAGCAATTTATTTACAATTTTGCTCCGAAGTCGAGAGCAAGAGGACAAGTCCTCCCATTCCTCGCAGTTGGCTTTGCCCACAAATTGCATAGAGGTTGCATCGAGATTCTATTTTTTCCCTTTTCAAAAGAATGCAGATGCTTTAATCATCGCTCTGTTGGAGGCTGCAGAGAAATCCGGGTTCCCCAAGCAGCTGTTTATGTTCTGAATGCAAAAAAAACAAGGATAATATAACAAGGTGAAGCTGCTGAAATGTAGCAGTTGGTCTATTCGTGTCCTGTTAACCCTATGACAATTGGCCCCCATTTGAATGCCATTGATTTGAGAACTTCTGCTCGCTATTCTTTTCTCACAAAATGCACACATTGGTCCACTGTACCAGATATTGTGTGAAGCACTTTGAGACGCTTCGATGATATAAGGCTCCATATCAAACGCAAGGATTATTATTATTCATTTTGGTTTAATACTTTCACTACTTTGCTTCTAAACTGTATTTCTATTCTGAGCCATTTACCCATTTCCAAGGGGCTGAAAATGGTCTCCAAAGGGAAGCTTCTCATGACCTGAACAATGGGATCCGGGTGTGTCTGGGATTAATATTTTAGCTGTGATGTTTTTGCTCCTCAAGACCAACTGACTTGGCTTCTTAGCAACTCAGTAAGGCTGAAAGCCAAAGTTACAAGTGGAGATGAAGTGAAATCTGGACCATGTTTGGCAACTGAGTGGGTTGTTGAGCTGCTAAATCTATTAATAGTGTTTCTCTACACGTATTATCTGAACACGTAAACACTGCATCCTTTGGTTGGAAAGACCAAGGAGATTGGCTTATTATTGCTCACTGAGTCCTGCCTGAACCATCTGCTAGTGAGCTAGCGTCACAATTTAGGAAGAACGTCACTGGGACTATATGATGTGTGATGTACTTTATTCTTTGTCCGCAGATCTGTGCGATCATCGGAGGAACGTTTACAGTTGCTGGGATCATAGATTCCTGCATTTTTACAGCTTCTGAAGCTTGGAAGAAGATACAATTGGGCAAATTACACTAGCAGTCGCATGCGTGTGTGTTCACTGTCCAGTCTGATCTAAACTCCCTTAAACTAAATTCACACAATTCTTATTTATGCCAAATTTATTACCAGCTAAGGCCATTCAATGTTTAACTATCTTGGGCAATATTTTTCAACTCTGGTCCTTGCCAAGGAATTTGAAACTTTTTAAAAAAAAAACGTTGGCTTGATTATTCAATTGATGAATATTTTTGAATGAAAACTATTAAACTTTACGACTTGTACCTTTTCTGGTATTGGCATTTATTCACGTAAATGGTGGGCATTTCAAAATGAGCCTGAATGGTTGAAAGAATTGTTTGAGAAACACAATTTACCTTGTCTGGCCTTGATAAAGATTTTTAAGTATTGGAAACACTGGACAATGAATAGAAACCCATTTTTACATGCTTTTGGTTAAGTTCGATATGACTGACAGTTTTGATATTTTTCTAGTTTACTATAAGATCACTCGATATAAATTAAATTGTCACCATGACCTTTTACCAAACCGGGATAGCATGGGAATGATTAGCTGTAAGGCAGACTCCGCAAATCGAATCCAGGTTTTGACAAGACGTAAATGTTAACTTGTAAAATTTGTAGGTCTTAAACACCAGAAGTTTTATTGTACAGTATTACAAGATTTGCTGCATTGTCTTTCACGTGTAATGTTAGTTCAAAGGCAAACTCTGATATCCCTTTCAGAACAGTTATTAAACAATTATGTTTTTGAAGCCTATAAAGTAATCCAAAAATCCCCAAAAACTATCAGAGTCCTGAGGACCACATGTAATGGAGATTTGGTGTAACAGACAGAGAACATTATTTTTAACACTCCCAAGGGCTGTATTACGTACGACAGCAAAATGTGTTACACCACTGTTAGAATTACCTACCGCCACTTCAACCTCATTCGTTCTGTTCAGAGACTAGCGGTCTTCCTGTTGACATCCTTAGCAAAGGTCAAACCAATCCAATGCTGACTCGGAATAAAACAGATTGTTCTGATGTCTCTAAAGTTCTTTGCTGAAGGCAGTAGATCTTTTCAGTGCAAAAGTAAACACCAGTGAAAGTTATTCCCCTCAAACCATTGGTACAAATGCATTGACATTCAAACATTCTGTGTATCTTTACTGAGTACAATAATAAATTGTACTTCTATTATAAGTTGCTTAGCAATGAAAGCAACTTTCGGTTGCTAACATTTGAGTTTGTAGCAAAGACAAATATGATGTAGGATGACGTGTGTATAAAAAAGACAGTTCGAGAAAACTAAAGGAAAAAGCAGTCCACACAAGTGTATTTTTGTAAATGTGAAGCTTTTGAAAGTGAGTATGAATTGGTAGTGAATTATCTAATGCATGCTTCATGAAGGTGCCAAATATTTTGCCTCATTTTATTAAATAATACATTTAAGGCTATATTCAGGCATAATATTTCAGTGTTCATTTCCCCAGAATTATGAAGCAACTGTTTTAACAAATGTTTAACTGGAAACTGAAAGTCCAGAAAGCTGTTGTCCTGAATTGTTTCTGTTCTCTGCGTGATACACAGAAAGTGTATAACAGAGGCTAATTTCACCTTTTCTAGCTTTTGGTTTTTCAGCGACCAAAACATTTGACCAACTTTATTTTTAAAACGTAAGATTTTCCACATTTCCATTACGATGTCAACTTGTACCGTTCACATCAGTGCGGCAACAACCACATCAAATGGTAATTGTGAAATCGTGGCTAAAGTTAAAAATAATGTTTTTGTAATGTTGAGTAGTTGATCACAGTATCCAGTTTTAGAATGACAGCAACATTGACAGTTCTTGCCTTATTTCTCACCCTTTTGGAGTTGAAAAGTGGTACTTGTTTAGCGACAGTTTTAGCTGCTGTTTAATGTTTGCCTGTTTTTTAGTTGCCGTGTACACTGAAGGAGTACTTGTGAAACGTACTGTACCGAGGCAATCGCAGCTGGTGAATCCGGAACCCTGCCACTTTCAATCAATAAAAACCTGCACATGTTTGTATTACCACTGTGGCTCAGTATTAGCAAGACTTCCAATTTGTTACCTGTGGCATAATTCCCTTGAATACGTTGTAATTGAAGGAACACTGTAGTAGTGTAAGAGATCAGGGAGCTAAAAGCTGTTCCAACATGTATCCAGACAATCTTTTCTATGCAAATAAATCCTTGCTGGGTGGGACTCGCAATTCCTGATGGTAAATTTAGTGAAAGTCCCTTGTATTGTGTTCTATGTCCAAATCCTCTGATAATACATGGCCAACGGGATGCTTTGACGTCGATACAAAGTCAGTTTGAAATATCACAGTATTGAATCTTCCAGTGCCTGAAAATGACTTTGACGTCTACAAAGATCAAAAGAATAGTGTTCCCGGGTGTGTGCATGGACATATTGTGTCACATATTGTGAAGGAACCCAACCCTTGGATAGAGATGGGTGCACTGCAACACAATGAAGTAAATAGCCTTGTAAATGCAACGTGTACCGCATAGAAAAACAAGGGAAATTCTGTTTCGTTCCCAATAGAGTTTATGGATACGTGCTTTTATTTGGAAAGTGGTAATCAAAGGTAGATAATTGGGTGGGTGATGGGTGTTGGTGCTGTCAGACTATTAATTTTTATACAAATATCAGAGATGGAGCAGACTTTATTTTATTACATCCAACCTGAACCCAGAGACTGTGAGTTGTGCTTTGTGTACGGAGGAATCCTGGCAGATCTAGCAAATCTTTGCCACATCGAGCAGTGCATCTCTTTTAACTGTTTTAGTGAGCGAATGCTCAGAGAGCAAGCTGATCCGGTTGAAACTAGGTTTGAGTATCTGAAGAGAGTTGGAAACATTGGGTGATGGAAACTTGGGGATCTCTGCAAGACACTTTTAAGAGTATGAATTGTCCTGATTGTTTTTAAAGTATAAAAGAATTAAAAATAATTAAATAGTCATGAGATCAAAATACCATTTGGTGTGTGTGCTTTTTGTTTACGATGTAGTGTTTAGGTAAACATTTTGCTTTCACTTTCCTGGTGAAAACATTCGTAAATGTTATATTATCAATCTGTCTGCTTATCTCGAAATGGTTACATTCATTGAATGCGTTGTCATTGTTTGGTGTGGAGGTGTAAAACACAACCTTCATGTCTTCAGTTAAATGTCCCAACGAGAATAATTAGCAAGAAATTCTTCCACTTAAGCTTGACATTTTAAAAAGAAATGTTTGGAATAATTTTATAATTGCCTTTAAGAGACATTTAATATCCTGAACAAAACATGGTCACTGCCTGTATTCAGTGTGAGGGTCAACAACAACAAATTACATTTGTACAGTGCCTTTCACGTCAGGTGGACGTCCCAAGGCTCTGGACAGTCAGGGATTCAGTGTGAGGGTCAGTCAAGCACGTTTCTTCTTTAACGTCACTTTTGTAAGGCAAAGAATTTTTTTCAGTGGTGACATCTGAGGGTCACACGGGAAACCAAATGATAGTGTGCCAAGACTTTCAAAGGGCCTTTGATAGAGTGCCATATGAGAGATACCTTTGAAACTGCCACTAAGTATCCAGGTTGAGACCCGATTCTGGACTAGAAAACTTCTGAAGATGTAGATGAAAAACTAGGGGAGAAAACAGCTTACAAAAAATTAAGACTGCAGTGAAGACTTTTGTGAGATTTTACACGTTAAGACAAAAATAACCTTGGCAGATTAAGAGGAATGTTGGCTTCAGTGCTTTTTGCTTATATTTAGTCCGTGAGATGAAGTCAAACATCGTGCCCTATTCCCACCCCACCCCACCCTCCCTTTACTTGTCACCCCCATTTGTAACTCCTTTGTATGTGTCCTGGCAAATGTCCATCCACCTCACAGACATCTCCACACACCTGATAAATAGGAAGAGCGTGTCATCAACCCAAAGTACCCGCCAGCATTTTGAAATCCACCACTCACGGCTCACAGCACTACCCCCCACCCCCCACACACACACACACACCATTTCATCACTGTGTTGTACGAATGTTTTCTGTAGGCGGTGTGCAGCCTTTGACGATCCTTCTGTGTTTTCTAGTGTATATTCACTTGTCAAGTCTGGCAAAGTTCTGAAGTAGTGTTGGTCTTGGCTGAAATTAAGATTGCACCTGTATGTTTGCGGTCGGTTAAGATCATTTATACATTTGCCTCGGAACTGCATTAATGAAACAAGAACAACATTGCATCCATAGACATGAATTAACATGACAGCAGATTTTCGATCAAGTGTCGTTTAAAATGAGAGCTCAGTCTTGAGACGTGAAGACCTGGATTTGCAATGGAAGCTGATGAGAATTGGGTTATGTAATGGTCCTGACCTTAGCTTTGTGCGGCTGGAATAATGTAGTGCTTTGAAATGCACTTGGCATCAGTCACCACAGAAAGAAACTCTTAATTGCTGGGCAGTCTGGAAATTGTTCCCTCCCGGCTGACTGCTGTTCTCTGATGTCAGCACTCCACAATCAACAGAGAAGTCAGTGTTCTCAGATGCATTACTACAGCTGACTTTTGTCAGAACGCTTTGAGCAGTGGTTAAAAGCCAACGTTACAGCTGTTTCAAATAACAGCAAATTCCACAGTGGGAAAGGCTCGCAGGAGAACAGTATGTTGTCATTCATATAAAAACACACGCTTGCACATACTTCATTTACAACCCTTCCCCCTCCCCAAAAAAGGATTCTAGAAATATTTCACACAATGTCTTCAGGAAATCCAAAGGCTTGTGTAACTGAAACCCACTTAATCATAATCGTGTGGGCTGAAGGTTGTTTTTGTCGACTTTTTGTTGTGAATTCCGAGGAGATTTTTTCGAGATGAGAACATTTTATATAAAGAGGAGTACTGGAATAGCGATGGTATTCGGAAATGTGTGTGCGTCTGTGTGTGTGTGTGAGTGGTGGGGGTTGATATCAGACCTGCAGTGGCCCGTGAGTGAGTTAATAATAATAATAATCCTTGCATTTGATATATGGCCTTATCATGTCTTCCAGACGTCTCAAAGCACTTCACAGAATATATTGCAAAGTGAACTGATTATGTATTTTGTGGGCGAAATGAGTTATGAAGAACTCCCACACAAACTGATGTAGTTACTTTTGATATTGTATTTTTTCTGTTAGATTGTAAACACACCATGATTACTTTCAAATGCTTATTATAAGTACACGTCACCCTGCAATTCCCCCTTTTAGTTTAGTGAGCTAATGCTCTCCTTTTCACATGCTTTCTCTTTTCCTTTCTCTCCGTGCTTCTGTATTGCTTGTCACGAGTAGGTGACCTGGAATTGGTGCCCGTAAACACGGGGCCGTTAAATAACTGATAACTGAACAGTAGGCAACACAACCTCACTCTCTGATGGCCTATTTTTGCTCCTGGAAGCGATTTCACATCGCCTTCAGCAGTGAAATGATAGAAACTGGAGACTGCTTTAAGCACATGCTCAGAACTCAGCCAAGCAGTGCTGAACACTGCCTTAATGTTACTGTTACTGCCTCAGTTAAACATTGTTCATTGGGCTTTGATGGGGCTATATTTATGGACGGACCGAATGGATTCACATGGATATCAGAGTGCATACTGCAGTGAGGCAAATCACTTTCCAATTAATGAACCGCTTCATGCTGTTCTGTCATCTATTCAGCCTGAAAAGTGCAGTGTAAACCGAGAAGCTTGGCTCGTTCACCAGCTTTGATCGTTGTGGCTCAGAGGATCACGGAATTTCAGCCTTTTTTAAAAATCTAATCTGTTTAACGTGAAACTCTGGGACAGTAGATCTGTTTTAGGCACGAGCATACATCGCAATCCACGACTGTTTACGGGCAATTGGCTGCCAAGTTTTGCTCACAAAATGTACAGTCAATTCACATTACAGTATATTCTGTGAAGCGCTTTGAAGCGTCTCGAAGAAGTGATAAGACGCTGTATCAAATGCAAGGATTATTATTATATTACATCTCACACAGCACGTATTAAACTTTCATATTCTCATTAATTTAAAAAAAACTCTTGAGCATCTACCAGTTATAAAATCTGGATTACTACAACCCTGAAAAAACATAACCCTTCAAATAAGAGCCGAAAATCGAGTCCAACAGATTCCTGATCTCAGGCAGCAGAGAGATTCTGCCTATCTTGGGGATGAAATGAACTATACTTTAAACACAGCACTTAAACACTTTGGAGTTAGTGATAATTTAAATATTTTTGTGAGCGGTGTCGGAACTCCAGTTACGAAACTGTGTATGATGGCTTTTTAGGAATGTAGAACATGGAGTACATTTGTTGATTTTTTTTTGTTGGGAATGAGTCTGACTGCCTGCAACCAGATGTGTTCTGATGTGTTCACATTCCACTCATACTCCTTACGTGAGATCACACTTCCTGTAGTCAGACGGGTACACAATGTTCCGCACTGGCACTGGCTGCTGAAAATGTTGACAGACCGGTGTCTTGAAGCAATTTAGAAATAGCACAGCTTTCAGTTTTATGTTTTTCTGGGTAATTTGCACCCGTGGTTGCAGGAATTGTTACGTAAGCGCAAGTCCCAGCGCCTTGGGACGTCCTCCTGACGTGAAAGGCGCTTTATAAATGGAATCTTGTTGTTGTTGTTGTTGTTGTAATGATTCACAGTTTTTCTTTAAGAGAGTCAATATTAGGGAAAAAATAACTATTCAATATGGATTCAGTTTAAATGGCAGAATAGGTATATAGGTTTGATATTGTTTTTTTTAGTCAGCTGGATGTCTCGACAAATGTGGAAACTCATTACCAGGTTTAAGAATATTTAAACTAGTCCAAAGGTTCCACAAAGGAATATCCACCTACACATACAAATTCGAATGCAAATTATTTAATTACCCAGTACTGTACATGAAAGTTAACAAGTTAAAAGATCAACAATCTCTTAATAGTGATTTAATTCATTTGATGTAATTCTTTCTGCTTTATCTTTCAACTTGGGACATTTTCACAAGTCACTTTCTGCTCACTGATTATTTCCCAATATCATTCTAGAAATAACAGTGCTAAATGTAAAGGCAAGTATTTCATTTCCGCTTGGAAAGTTTTTGTGCTCATTTTTTAATGCTGTGGCTTTGTAAATGAAATATGTTGTTCCATTTATGTTGTTGTTGTTGAATATGTTTCCATGTTTGAAGTCCGTGCAGGGATAGTGTGAGTCAGCATAGACTAAATCCCCTTCTTCAGTGTCCTGTACTGTGTACATTAATGACCCACTCTGTGGTGTTACCATTGCGACTCTATCACCCCATCCTCACCCAACTCCACTGGCTTCCCATCACACAGAGGATATAGTACAAGATCCTGGTCCTCACTTTCAAAGCCCTCCATGGCCTCGCTCTTCCCGCCTACCTCTGCGACTGCCTAACCCCCTACCAACCTCCACTCAGCGGGCTCCGGCCTGCTTCACATCCTCCGCTTCACCCGCCCCACCATTGGCGGGCGGGCCTTCTACCACTCTGCCCTCATCCTCTGGAACTCCATCCCGCAGTCCCTCCACCTCGCCCCCTCCCTTACCTCCTTCAAGACCCATCTCAAGACCCTCCTCTTCGACCGTGCCTTCGGTCACCCTCCTTCCACCCCCTGCCCTCCACCCTCCCCGATCCCAACCCCCAGCTCGGGTCTGAAACATTGAGTGTCCAGCACCTTGGGATGTCCTCCCGACGTGAAAGGCGCTGTGTAAATATTATCATTGTGGCTTCTCTCAGTGAATCAATTGCTTACCAGCCAGAGCTGATGAAAGGCTGGTTTTCACCTCAGTGTTATTGTGTACAGATGCTTTAACATGGTTGTGAGGAGACTTTAATGTGCTGTCTGGCTAGATTCAAAGCTTGGTTCTAACCAACTGACGCCCCCGCCTTTCACCACCACCACCTGCCCAGCCTCTCATTCGTTTAAAATGTTTTACTTTTATA